GGGCGCCACCATATTTGGAAGTCATAAGTCTCGTGCGTCATTATTCATTTATAATCCTTTTATCACTTATTTAAATTACCACCTTGCATTTTAGTGCCGCTGATAACCGCCACAGATGGTACGGCTGTTCCTGACCAGTATATTGCCCATCTTTTGCCAGAAGGAGAGTATGGAAAAAGTAGGTGCACCAGCCAATGGAATTGTTTAAAAATTATTTCATTAAAAAATAAATAAAAATGATTCTGCATTTATTCAATTTAGAATTTAAAACTTTAATTCCCGTACTTACAAGTAACTATAATTTACTATTGGTGGAATGGTCAATATGCCAAAGACACAGTTAGTATAGATTAAGTACAAGCATGTACATGTATATGATTATTTTCCCAACAGGGAGGTCTAGAAGTGTCATGAAAATAAAAACGCCTGCTGAACGTTCATTTCAAAAGCAATATTTATCATACGCACACATTATATAGTTACAATTTTACATCTCTTACAGTTCGTAGCATCCTGAAAGGAAGTGGTTCTTATCAAAAAGCAAAGTTCATAAAGTTCACTAGAACAAGCAGATACGCCATACTTAAGGGTATAAAAGAAAGGTATTTTATTTTTCAACGGATGTCCTTTTGATTAAAAAAAATAGTTTTGATTTTAATGACCGTTATTTTTTAACGTAATCATCATAGTTTGAAATTTGGTCTTCATTTTTTTATTTTTATTTATTTATTTTTTTTTTTTGTGATTTTCATAACGCTTTGGGGTAATCTTTTTTAATCCAACATCATTTTATAGATATGATATCTTACAATTCTCTGATAAGTTTGTTATGGGAAAAAATCCCACACAATTTTTTTCAGATATGCATAGTTTGTTCAGATTTTTGTCAGTTGTTACTGTTGCAAGAACCTCTGATTTTTAATAGTGATCTTCAACAGCTTCGCCAGCTTACTGACGTCATTGCGGAAATCGAACAAGATAAAGCAATGTCGATTGATGGATCTTATTGTGCAGGACCTTTTCCAGCATCTCACACATGGGTAAATGTTATGTGCGTGCATGTGTATGTTTGAGGTTGTACATAAATATGTATGTTCCTGATCGAGCGTCAATGACTATGAGTCATTTTTCGTATGGTAAAAGTGTCTTAATAAAAGATATAAAAAAAGACTGCCGGCTCCCGTCTAGGACAAAATATCATTACTGAAAATCTGCCTTTACATTGTATTATTAGGAGATCGGAGATCCGGATAAACTGGAAATTGTCATCACTTCTTTAACTCCCACGTAACTCTTAAGTCATGTTTTTAAGATTTTTTATCCAAAAGCAAACAAACAAAAAGACAAACCAACGGCGAGAAAACAGCCGCCTTAACTTACGGAAGTAGAAAATGAACTTTTTCTAAATACGGCTTCCTTCCTTTTTGATGCAGAATTTAGACCGAATAGACGACGAAAGGGATGATGACAGTTTTACCACCTGGGCGGTCGGCTCTGGTATAGACGCATACGTCATGGACACTGGAATAAATCCTGATCACGTTGACTTCGGAGGAAGAGTGTCATCAGGTAAGTGACATTAAACTGTAATTACAAGAGAGAGAGAGAGAGAAGAGAGAGAGAGAGAGGGAGAGGATGACCTGGCACAAGACAAGAATCAGAAAGAAGACGGTTCTCATCAAAGTTCTTTGTTGTTTTTCCAGGATGGCACGCGAGTTCTTTCTCCGATAGCAGAGACACCCATGGTCATGGTACCCATGTGGCCAGTACCTTAGGCGGCGAGACCTATGGAGCAGCCAAGCAGGTGAACCTTATTCCCGTCAAGGTGTGCTCCCGGACAAGGTGTCCAACCTCGGACATCCTGGCAGGACTGAACTGGATAAAGTCACGGGTTCAACAAAACAAGCGTCTGTCAATCATTAACATGTCACTGGGTGGTGGGTACTCCTCTAATCTCAATGACGCCGTGTACGCGGTATTGGATGCAGGCATTCCAGTGGTAGTCGCCGCTGGAAATGACGACAAGGCCAATGCGTGTAATTTATCCCCGGCAAGCGTAAGCGGAGCCCTCACTGTTGGCGCCACCCAGATAGACGATTACTTGGCTCCGTTTAGTAACATCGGACCGTGCGTCGATATTTATGCTCCAGGGAGGAATATCAGGGGCGCCTCCTACGCGAACACGCACGGTTCAGTGGCACTTGATGGGACGTCAATGGCGTCCCCTCTCGTCGCCGGTGTAGCCGCGGGTTTGTTGCAGGCCTATGCCAACGCTGGGTTTTTCAGCGAACCGTCGACAAGCGTCGTTGACACTCTAAACTATGACATCATCCAGTATGCGGAGAAGGGTACAGTGAGGGGACTCCCGTCTTCGAACAACAACAATGTTATGCTTCATACCACCTGCCTGACTACCTAACTTTAATATCACCCTGTAAAAACAATAAACAGTTCCTTTAAGCTGCAGCAACCTATCAAAGCTGGTCTTTGGAATGTTTTCCTAGAAATGTATTTTTCCTCAGATTTATTTAAGATTTTAAGATATCGTATCTTTTTAAGTCTTCCTGTTAACACGGGTTCTGCCTGATGGTACGTTGAGTTAAAATATGAGTTAAACGGGAAGCTGTTACTTTTACAGTAGTTCTCAATAGAACCTTGCCAGCGGAATTTTAGACAGAAACAATTTTCATAGCACTAGCTTTTCGGAAACAAACCGATTTAAAAAGGGGTGAAATTGATAATATCAAAGCTTTTGCATGTCATATGTTATTTTCCAATGAGCAACAGCTGCTTGGCCTGCTTGCACTTGTATTGTCCTGACAAGGACAACTCTTACAGAGAAGTGTTACTTAAACGCGATTCCCTATTTGGGATATTAAATGCAAGCTGTATATTGCACACGAGATGCCATCTTATTTCTGTCTAGTAATTTAACTGCCAAAGAATCAAAACATGCACCCAAAAGTTATACATTTATAGAA